GTTTTATTGATGACTTTTAAGTCATCAGCATAGAGGTAAGTCTTACTTGTGTTAAATCACTTGCATATAATGTTGATGTACGCTAGAAAAAGCAAAGAACCCAAGACACTACCCTGCACAACACCATTGGTTATTGGTCAAGGTGTAGATGTTGTAGAGTTGATCTTGGTTATTTGGTATCTGTTCGTAAGAAAATACTTGATTCATTGCAATAGGGGGTTTATAATTCCAACCGTCTGTGGATTAGAAGATTATGAGAAACACTACCAAAGGATTTCTTAATATCGAAATATAGTATAACCACGTATGCGAGTAACCTCATTAAAGAAGTCTATCAGGCGTGTATCGCAGGTCCTTGTTCTAATGAAGTCATGTTATGACGGGTCTATTTGATCTTCCTCAAGTAGGTGATCAGATAGTTGATTTTGTATCACTTTTTACAGTATGCGTGATATAACTGGAGTGATGTTCATGGGTCTGTAGTTTTCGAGCAGGTTTTTCGGTTCTGATTTGTGTTTGAGAAAAACTTACGTTACCTTCCAGGTTTCCGGATTCGTACCTGTCTCTAAAGATAATGTGTATGTTTTGAGTAATAGCGTCTTCATGTCCGGTCCTGACATTTTATAAAGGATTGAAGGGATGTCATCGGCACCAGAACTCGCATTCGGCTTAAGAATTTTAATGGCTGTATGTATACTCCTAATGTCGATGTTTATGGTACTAAGGCAATTTTTGCTAATGCGTTTTATGTTAATATCCGGGGTATGAGACGTGTTCCCGTTGTGGGAAAGCCATTCACTTAACAGTTGACATATGACGGTTTGGTTATAATATGTCACTCCATCATACAGTAAGAAGTGAATGTTGTGATCTGCATTCTTTCTTATGAGTTTTACGAGGAGACGACATAAGATTTGGTCTTTAGATGCAGCAGTGAGCGCAATACGTTCCTCTGCCTGTTTATGTTTGTTGTGTCGTCTTCGCACTCCCTCAAGCACAGAATATATTTGGTGCACAGCACTGAAGTCATGTGATATGCAACGCATCTTTTTTAGTTTTAGCAGCTTACACGTAGTCTTTGGGTTGACATAGGGAGTAATTGTTTGAAAAGCAAATTTAAAGGGAATAGTAGTGTCTAGTGTAGATTTGGTGGTGATATTGAATATTTCTAATGTTTCTAAGAGGTTATTACTGGCAAGGAAACTGCCTCAGTCAGAGTGCTTTATTAGAAATAGAAAGTTTTCCCAGTCAGCGTTTGCATGGTCTTTATATTGGAAACGCGTATTTAATGTCTTTAATTTGTTGCACATGGCAAGAAACGGAAGGGTGCAGAGGACTATTTTATGATCGCTGTTGTGAAACTTTTCGCCAACCACCATTGATGTTGGTGTGACATTATGACAGAATATTAAGTCAAAAATGTTGTGATTTCGTGTAGGCAGGTGTACATGTTGTTGCCAGCCGTGAATGTCTAAGGACCTAAGTATGCTGTCAAAGCACAATGGGCCAGAATGTGTCGTCCAGTTGATGGTGGGAAGGTTGAAATCACCACATACAATTTTGCAAGTGAAATCAAGCAAGGCAGCTGAACTAGGAGTGTTGGGAGCTCGATATATGCATCAGATTAGTATTTTACATTCATGAGTGTGCACAGTAAGCCATATCGAATCAGGAAGTTTGTTGAGGACATGGTCGCTATAGGTTCTTGCTCACAAATTTTTTGATGCATAAACGAGACAACCACCACCCTTCTTGATGACTCGATCACAGCGGAAGAGCTCATAGGTGCCTGTCTGTATATTACTTTGTATAGATCGTGCGTTGATTAACATAAGTGTCAGGTACGGTGAGTGTTTGTCTAGTAGAAGGGTATAATATAAACCTAGTGAATTGTCTGTTTTTCCATGAGAAAAGGAAGAATTGAGAGTGTTGACTTCATATTGATGAGCGTTTGGTTTATTACCAATAGGGTTAATGCGAAAAAGGTAGTCGGAAGTTAGTTTGCTGAAAGAAGTAATTTTGAGAGTGTAAGGTAGAGTTGAATGGTCAGGTAGTGTATTCGGAGAGTGATCAGGAGGTCCAGTCATGGAGCTTTTAAGACTACAGACAGTTATTGATTTTGAGAAATATGTGCCACTCTCCGTTAGGTCGGAGTATATCGATGGCCTCAGAATAGTGGGATTGTCGCCCTCAACATTTGGAGACCCATAGCAGCACTGTTGAGGGGGAAAGAGATAAAAAAGGATGGGATAGTGTACATGTCGAATTAGGGGGGATTAAAGAGTTGTATAGGCTGGCTTGACTTAAACTGTATCTAGAACCAGTAGGTGGGTTCCTAAGTAGGTCAATGTTATGGCTTCCTTGTGTGCGGTGGGCAATTTTAGTCCTGTTATGGGTAGTTGGGGAGGTTGTATGTTTCTGGTAGGAAATGATTGATTGCCTGATATTGTTGCCATGAGAGGTGTTTGTGTTGTGTGTAGTTGTGTGCTGGTTCATAGACCTTGCAAGGTTCACACTATATGACTTATGGGCATCACATGTAGGTGTGGTTTTCGTCGAATGCCGTTTCACGTTAGGATGAGTTGGTACGGCCAGTTCACCATATTTGTTGTAGGGGATTCTACTGCTATGAAAAAGGTGCGTGTTTTGGGTTTGGGGTGCTGGAGTACTGATGGGATTTTACAGAGAGTTTAGTATTATTTCGTACAGCGGTGTCTACGCGTCTATAGGGCAACTACTAGAGGATCATTTTTAGGCTTTTAATTGGAGCTGCTGGGGCAACACTGAGGCATAAATGGATTGGCATTTTGGGCTAGCTGAGTGTTTGGGCTGAGTGGTTGCAGCTGCTTTATGTGCAGTCTTGTTCTTAGGACTAATAGCAGTGTCCGACATGCCTCTGTATTTTTTGGGGGGCAGTGTATGATATTTTAGGATTCGTGCAGTGACAAGAGCTGTAGCTGCCGCCGCTACGTAAGCTGGGTTGATCAGTTTGTGCTCCATTGCAGATTCAACGCTGGATAGCGGTCCTGTCATGAATGATCTTAATCTTTTTAAATGTTGGAATACGCCTCAGTAATAACTGACTATTGAGGAGGTGATTAGCTTCAGTGGTACTACCAAACTGAAATAGAATGGGACAGTAGGCTTTAGTGTGTGCTTTACGTAATCTTCTTGTTACACACCAAGATTGCGACAATCCACATTCTTGTAGTAGAGTATTTTTAGCGATCTTTATGTTCGTACTATTAGGTATATTATACACAATGACATTCTGCACACACTGAAGTCTTTTCAACACTTCAGATGACATATGGTCAATTACTTTTTCAGTGTTTTTTATAATTTCCAGATCGGGATTTTCTGAAACACTGATTAAATATTTGTACGGTTATAAGTCTTGTAGTTTTGTAACAGCTCAGGTTGGTTGGTTAAGAGTTGACCCCAAACAACCAAGCTTATGCCAAAACAGTATTGTTCAAGTATTCATTCACTTCCTTATTTTTCATAAGCGTTATATTCCCTATTATCTTGAAGGTTGAGAGCCTTTGTTTGTCTGAACAGATAATCCCACGCTCCACTGTGACTGCGCGAAGATCGAAATAAAGACCTATTCACTACTTCTCTGGTTTCTTCTATCAATAGCACGAGGGTTACCTTAAGGCACGAAACTGATGAGCCCTTTTTGAACACAAATTTAACCTCATTTCTGTTATTAACATTTTTTTACTTAATCGTAAAAGTAGACCTGATTATCCGTAAACTAATTTGAGTATATAACTAGTTTATTCCGTATTATCTTAAGTTATTCGTGTTATAGTAACCACTTTTTGTGCTAACTTTATTGCTATATTTGTCACATACCTCATGTCAGACTCAATAGAAACCCATAATCTGGAGGATTTGTCACCAGTGGAGATAGACACTGTTATGACTACGAAATCCCGACTTCCAGAATTTGATCGTAGTGATCCTGAGTTGTGGTTTGCTCAACTAGAGCATTATTTCACGAGACACAATATCAAATCTGAAGGGATTCGCTATAGAGACTTGTGTTCTATCCTTCCTCCTTCAGTCGCCAAAGAAGTCCGTGATTTGATTTTAAGTCCACCATCACCACAACCATACACCATCTTAAGACGAGAGATAATGAACCGTTTATCATTATCAGATAGTCAAAGAATCCAAAGACTTTTTCAAGGTGAAACACTAGGTGATCGGTCGCCGTCACAGTTTTTACGTCACCTCCAAGTCTTAGTGGGTGATAACACAGTGGGTGAAGCAGTCCTAAAACAAGGATGGATACAAGCTCTCCCATGCTACGTCCAACACTGTTTGGATGCACAGGATCCTGAAACCTCATTATCTCATTTAGCGCGTATAGCCGACAGAATAATGGAAAGAGGTCCTCCAACTGGATCAGGCACAATAAATCACACACAAAAAGTAGAATCAGCAAATGACCCCGTAATAGAAGGACTCATTGCGAGTGTTAAGAGTCTCACTGAGGCTGTCACCAGAATGCAAATGGGTCATAGAAACAGGAGCAGGTCACCACAACGACCACGATCTAAGTCACAAAACAGGTCACAAATGTCCAGACAATCTGGGCAGTTTTGTTGGTACCACTGGAAGTTTGGTGTCAACTCAACCAAGTGCATGCAACCATGCGCCTGGCCTAAGCATAATTCTAAGACAGCGGGAAACGAGTAACCCCTCCCCAGGTCGCGACGACTGAGGAGGGGCGCCTAAACAGTCGCTTGTTTTATGTTAGAGACAGAAACTCGGGCTTGAATTTCTTGGTGGATACTGGCGCTGCTCTTAGCATCATCCCTCGAAATAAAACTGAGATTAGTCGAGAAACATCATCAATTACACTTCAAGCTGCAAATAAAACTAAAATTGCGACATTTGGGCAGAAAACTTTAACCCTAGATTTGGGGTTCAGGAGGCAATTCCCTTGGGTTTTCACGGTAGCCGACCTAGATCTGGCAATACTGGGGATGGACTTTCTAGAGAGATACGAATTTCTAGTTGACACCAAGAAACGGCGATTAACACTAAAAGAAACTTCGTATTACACAAAAGGCAAAGAAAGTCACATCAACTCTCTTAACTTGATTCAAACTCCCCCAGTAACAACAGCGAAATTCCAAGATATACTCGCGGAATTTCCAAACTTAACTAAACCAAACCCACAGCCTTCTAAAGACAAACTAAAAGTGAGTCACACTATCAAAACCGAAGGTGCACCGGTGTTTGCAAAACCCAGGAGACTAGCACCAGATAAGCTCAAAATCGCTAGGGCCGAGTTTGATTATATGCTACAACTGGGTATCATCCGTCCCTCTGATAGTCAATGGGCATCCCCTTTGCATATGGTCCCAAAGAAGAATGAAGGTGACTGGCGACCGTGCGGGGATTACAGAGCCCTAAACCGTCAAACCGTACCTGATAGGTACCCAATACCTCATATCCAAGATTTCACCAACGGTTTACAGGGTATGAACATATTCACTAAATTTGACTTAGTCAGGGCATATCACAATATCCCGGTGGCTGATGAAGATATTCCCAAGACAGCTATTACTACACCCTTTGGCTTATTCGAGTTTGTACGCATGCCATTCGGCCTGAGAAATGCGGCACAGACATTTCAAAGATAACCTACTTCGAGATATGCCATTTGCGCAGGGGTATATAGACGACTTGTTAATTGCCAGCCCCGATTTGCAATCACACGAGCAGCATGTACAGTGTTGAAAAGACTGGATGAACATGGAATAAACATACATCAAAGTAAGTGTGTTTTCGGTGTTCAAACTTTAGAATTTCTCGGTCACACAATAAGCCCAGAAGGGATTAAACCTATAAAAAAAGAAGTGGATACTATCAAACAATACCCCGTACCTAGTTCTCTAACACAACTGAGAAGTTTTCTAGGCCTAATTAACTTCTATCGCAGATTCATACCAGGTTGTGCACAATTAATGCAACCTTTGACAGATTCACTTAAAGGAAAACCAAAAGAATTCAAACTGTCTTCTGACGCCATCGAAGCTATTAAACAGCTTAAAGATAAACTGGCTGAAGCAACTACGTTGATATATCCGAATTCTCTTTCCCCACTTGCTTTGATGGTGGATGCTTCAGATAAATCAGTAGGCGGTACCCTTAACCAACTGGTTAAAAACGCCTGGAAACCAATTGCTTTTTTCTCGAAAAGACTCGCTCCAGCCGAAACAAGGTATTCTACCTTCGGGCGAGAACTTCTTGCAATCTACCTGACCATTAAACACTTCCGACACATGTTAGAAGGTAGGGAATTTATAGTCTTTACGGATCATAAACCACTGACGAATGCATTGAAAGCGAGAGCCGATAAATACTCACCTCGAGAAGTCCGACACCTTGACTATATATCACAGTTCACAAGCGATATCCGACATGTCAAAGGTCAGGACAATCAGGCGGCAGATGCTTTATCCAGACTAGAAATGAACGTGCTACAGCAGTCTACAGTAAACTTCGAGACGTTAAGACACGAACAAGAGCAGGACCTAGAATTGCAAAACCTACTTAAAACAAACAATTCAAGTCTTAATTTAAAACAATTCCCATCACCTATCGATGGTATTCTAATTTATTGTGACACGACCAAGGCAATGCCGCGACCTTTCGTTCCCAAAAATATGCGAAAGTTGATATATAATAACTTTCATTCTTTGTCTCATCCTGGCGCGAAAGCTTCAACAAAACTAATCAATGCCAGATATATATGGCCGAATTTACAGAAGGATGTACACAAATGGGTTAGAGAGTGTTCAGCATGTCAACAATCAAAGATTAATCGTCACACAAATTCACCCATAGGTGTTTTCTCGCAACCAGATGCACGTTTTGCCCATGTGCATATCGACTTGGTAGGTCCTTTACCTCGTTCAAACGGTTTTAATTATCTTTTTACATGCATAGATCGATTTACCAGATTCCCTATAGCCATCCCGATAGCGGACATCACAGCGGAAACAGTAGCCAAAGTTTTCATGCAGAACTGGGTAACCATTTTTGGAACACCCATAACAATAACGACGGATAGAGGAGCGCAATTCGAATCCGAACTATTTAATAACTTGGCTAAACTTCTAGGCTCCAATAGGATACGCTGCACTGCATATCATCCTCAGGCTAATGGGATGGTAGAACGTTTTCACCGTCAGCTAAAAACCGCCCTTATATCTCACTCAAACCCCAATCAGTGGACAGAATTCCTACCATTAGTTATGTTGGGAATACGAACATCTGTCAAAACTGACGCACAGTGTTCAGCTGCGGAACTGGTTTTCGGAACAACTCTGAGACTACCAGGTGAATTTATTAACCCCAATACTAACAGTCAAAAACTTAATTTAGGAAACTACGTAGATCAACTACGGGACCATATGTCCAAACTTAAGCCAATTAATACTCGCGAACAATCGCGTGCCGTATATGTACCTAAAGACCTAAGCAATTGCACGCACGTCTGGATAAGATGTGACAAAATAAAAGCACCACTCAGTCCTCCATTTGAAGGTCCTTTCAAAGTCGTCTCAAGAAAATCTAAATATTTCGTGATAGAAAAACATGGAAACATCGACACAGTAAGTATTGATAGGCTAAAGCCGGCTCATCTAGATCATGAACCACCATACGTGTTGTTAGATCGTTTAACTGACAAATCCATTACGGAATCGAAATGCAAAAACGATAAATCTTTACAAATGACTAAAACAGTTCGCTGGGCACATCCGATTAGCCAATCAAGGATGTTGACAGTTTCAGCTGCAGGATAAAATCTAACCACGTAGCTAATCAAACCCTTCATCTACTTAAAAATAACTTTTCTACTCATTCCGCCTCACCTACAACTCCCCAGACCTTTTGCCTTTGATATATAAGTGTTATGTTAAATTTTTTTTAAATACTGGACACATAAGCTAGGTATTCCGAAACGATGGCTGCGGATTTTAATCAAACTCATACAACTAACACTGGCAAATACAACGAATTCAAAAAGCAACCCAGGCGAGTTTTATAATTTCTTTTTCTGGTTAATTAACTATGTTGGCTGTACTTCTTATATATCTATATACATTTTTCATGTAGACTGGCTATACATATATACCATATGAACTAATTCTAAAAGTTTTCGGTCGAAGATGTGTTTAGTAGCTTGATACGCTTAATACTACTATTAATAAGTGGTTTTCTAGACAAAACATTTTGGATTAAACCATGGTCAAATACTTATTAAAGTTCTCATCATTTTTTTCATGTTTAGGAAACTTACATAATGACTTAACCAGTTTTCCTACAGCATGCTTTCTAGTGTGATCATATAACCCATCATTATTGGCAATGTTCAAATTTTTTTTTAAATTTCTGACATTTAAGAATCAATAACCGTGAAGATATAGTACAGTGCGTTACTGTAAGGTTACTATGTTAGCCGCATTGATTCCACATACCTAATTTTAAACACAACTTATAAGGGAACTGTTAAGTAATCACAATATTGAACTAATATGAATATCACAGCTATGCTAACGTTAAACCAATTATTATTAGTGGTCCATACAAAATCCTGGAACTCAACACTAGCGTTATAAAAAAACATGTTATGTCAATAACTTATATATATATATACCTTTTTTTCTCGTTGGTTTAATTATAACGTAAAATGGAAATCTACCACACTTGTAGTTTTTTTTTCTATAGCATTATTATTAATAAAAACAAAGAACTTGTACTATTCCAATATGGCACTTTGACATATCAATCCGTCCTCCTGTTATCTTTCTCTCATATCTGAGCAACATATGGCCAACAAACATCGTATTGAAGGGGGTTTTGGTGAACGAAAACGCTAGCCCCACACGCACTCGAACCTCTGCCCTCCTGGATGCTAGACCGTGTGCCTAGCCATTAGACCACATCAAACCACGGGCGAATGACTGCAATCTTTCCTTTTACCGATTAATCGTATATAATACTAATGAGTAATAGGACTTACACATTTCTAAGGTGCAGACAAATTCGTTACTTGGATGAATTGACGAAATATTGTTTCAATATATCATACATACTTAGATCAAACCAGAAAAGAGTATTTGACACAATTGTACTTAATCCTCATAATCTACACAATTTTTTTCTCCTCCTTAACCGTATATTCTTTTCCGTTTTGTGGAGTACAACTATGCACCCTTGGTTACGTACCAGGTTATAAAAGGCGGTCGTCATAGACCCAAGGTCATACATTTGATCGGGTTTGACAATGAGTCCAACTTCTAGCAAGTTTACACTTTTACATATATGCATTATGAAAAAGTTTTTTTTTGTGTTCATACCTTTTCGTACATAAGATGGCTACACTATGTCTATTTTCTTCCAGAATACCAATCCTTTCTGGAGGCCAATCACTTACGTGGAACCGAACAATTATAAATTATATTTTTGTATTTCCATTTTGTATCTTATTATTTTTATGAAGGCAGTGGAGCAGTTCTTCAGGTATGATTGGTTTTCACCATTACCTTTGAAGTAGATTCTTCTTTACTTTTTACTTGAGGGCGACTAAAGAGGCAGGTGAGTAAACACCTGATAGCCGGTCTGAGCATGGAAAAATCGTACCTCACCAACATGGTGTTGGGTAGCCCGCTCGCGGCACTTCCTCAGATATTCTTATTCCACATTCTCACACTCTTTCTCTTGAAAGCACGCAGTAAACCGTCAGCGATAGTTGTAGAATAGATCACATGCTACAAAATAAGATGACAAGCTAGTAAATGAGGAGACATCCATGGACTATCGTTGACAGTGTTAGTCGTCACTGATTGTAAGTCAAATAGTGAGCGAGTTGATAATTTTCCCTTGGGATGAGAAATAGAACTAAGGTGTTTTCGATAGATAGGTTAATCGAACCGACGTTCCTACGGAAGTCGATTCTAGGGGGAAGCTAATGTAACAGCTCAGGTTGGTTGGTTAAGAGTTGACCCCAAACAACCAAGCTTATGCCAAAACAGTATTGTTCAAGTATTCATTCACTTCCTTATTTTTCATAAGCGTTATATTCCCTATTATCTTGAAGGTTGAGAGCCTTTGTTTGTCTGAACAGATAATCCCACGCTCCACTGTGACTGCGCGAAGATCGAAATAAAGACCTATTCACTACTTCTCTGGTTTCTTCTATCAATAGCACGAGGGTTACCTTAAGGCACGAAAGTTTCAGTGATTATAAGTTCTGTTTGGCTGCTTTTAGGCATACCAGTGGTGAGATTATTGGAATTTATATCAAAGTTTTTAAGGTTGGTATGGTTACATACAGACCTGTTGCAAGTGTCTACTGGGTGGTCACCTTGTGAATACTTAGTTGGAGGGTGGAGTATATGTCTGGGTGAGTAGTCAAGATCTACGTCATCGGGCTGGCTATTGTAAACAGGCTTACATGTACTCCGTAGGCAACTACTCAGGATGACGGATTGTAAAATTGTTGGGTGTTTGGGGTCAGTCTCACTGTCTAAATACTGCTAACAACTTGTGATGCTTTTGTTTGGACTGACAAATGATGACGACTCTAACGGTACGTGACTGCTCTTATTTATATCTACGAGCGAGATACAAG